CGGAGGAGCTCAACAGATGTAACTCCACTCATATCGTGAGTTCAAAGGTGCATCGAATACCTTTGCTTTTGGCAAAGACCGGACAACGGAGTTAAAGAGAGGGGTTGGATTCTTTTAGGAACTCTATGGGAAATAGTAAGTGCCCCTCGCATTACACTATCAGTGTTACACGCGATGGTAAAGGGTCCGGAGCCTATTATAAACCTGAGGAAATAGTGGGGTACCAAGCTTGCTGCCAATCATATCTAGATGCACATAAGGTTGAAAGACGCACTCTATTTTTTTTATTTTTTTTTGATTTAGAGGCTGGTTTTGTAGATCCGGTAAAAGAAAACATACGCACAGACACGGTGGAATCAAAACATTGAAACAATGTTTTGTATGGGACGAGGCTGAGGTGCTCAGCTACCTGTTAGTTCTAGACTTCTGTAAAGTATTCGATTGCCCAATCAGGAGAGGTAGGGTAGGTCAAACATTGAGTGATAAACCAAATACCTCAAAATATTGGTTCTCCGTGTTTAGTCTTTCACATATCAACTTTGGCACTTACAATGTTAAAATAAGAGAATGTTTATTGATTTATTGAAAGTGGACGAATTCAATAGGGGTGTTGATCATTGCATGCATTAATCCCAATACAACAGTAATATGATTCGTTACCGAGATTAAAGCGAACTGTTATATTGCTTTGCTTGAAGTATAAGTATGGAGATATATCAGGCGTGTCAAAGTATTTGGGTACATGGGTTTATGTGCCTCCAACACTGTGTGACAGTGAACAGTCATGACTTGCTCTAGCCAGCCTCCGGTAAGTGGCGTGGCGGCGTAGAAAGTCGTAGGTAGAAACATGCATAAGCTCCGGATAACGGATAGAACACATGCAAAAGCAAAATACGATATGAATACGGCATCCTAAGACTTGCGTCACCTAAATGTGCTTGTTTTGGGGCCTTCGAGTGACATATCGTGATTTCAGGCCTGTTCCGCCAAGGATTTATAACACATTGGATAACGATGTATTGATCAAACGAAGCATAATGGAAGGACCTTTCCCGCCCTTGACACACATATCGGCCTGCAATTTTATCCAAATAATTACATCAGCCTTCAGGTGAACCATGCATAGGTCTCAGATACCCGTTATGACGATGCTGCGTATGTACATAATGTACGTACCGCCAGCCAGGAACGTCGACTGGCGTATGTCTCGTCACAAGTTTACATACATACAAGTAGTTTCCGGCCTTCGGCCGGTACTATATGCATATCAATCAGTCCAATATACAGGCAAGCCGCTTTGCGGCTTATTTGTCTATTTGCCTGCCAGGAGGGGTCGGGGGCCGCGCAGCGGCCTGAGAGCCCCGACTGACAGGCAAAGTCCATCACTATATCTAGATCTGATCTGGTCAATATGTGACTTTTCTGATATATTATCCCCATATATCAATGGATAAGTCAGACAATTTCTCCAGTTAAAACTACAGGTATATCCCTTTAACAGCTACCAAACCGCTAAAATCGAACCACTATCGATTCCCAGAACCAGTAGAAACCCTATTAACACTCTAACACCACTCAGCACAATACCCTATGTTAATATCCAACACAACATGTTTCAAGTGAAACAAAAACATCTCTCAATGAACCAATCAGAAGACTATAAAAGCACATTGCATATGCAGGTTATAATTATATACTTATTAGATGTAGCTGCTCACATGTACCTAAACTAGGATCGGCGGCTAGATCTACTTATGTAGATGCATGACAGGATCTGGGATGTTATCGTATGGTCCCACAAATACGTTTGGAGGCGGCCAGGAGAAGATAGCTCTGAAAGACGGAAAGCTGAGGTCTGAATCATTCCGTAGGATCTAGGTATCCCGGTTTTGGATAGATGTCTTTGCAAGACAGTACGTACGTTTGCTAAGAATAGACGCGCGCCTTCCCTCCACCGGAAGGCGCTGAGATAACAGCTTACGATGACGATGTATTCATTCTTGAACCTCTTTTCTCTACTGAGCAGGGTGTTCCGGTGGAGGGTGAGAGGGGGTAATATATATACATGTATTCAGGCAAGAATCGACGCCGCATTGCAAGATTATCGGGAACAAATTTCTAGACGACCATCGAGGTGGGATCGTATATATTCACTTAAATCTTCCAATACGTCAAATCAGTCCTCAGTTTTATATTTTAGCAGTACATGTATCTATGCTATGTTATATATGTTGTGTCAATCATTATCAATCATAGAATGTCACTCGAATTTTGGAGTTATGTAGTAACTAGATAATTCTTTTTTATTTAACAGTAACTTAATAGGTTGATAGACAGGATATTTACTCGCTCTGAATATACAAAGACAACTCTACTGTCATTCATGCGGGCTAGATCTTCATATTGGCTTCTGATGGCGGGATAGTTACCGCGCGGGCCTATCTAGTGTAATTTCATATGGAATCACTAAGGGTAGTGCTATAGTGCAAATTGTCTTAGTTTAACTGGAAAATTTTATCTTCTAGACGAATCTACTGGCAGATTCTCCCTTCGATGAGATTCCGTTTAGATCTTATGCAGACTCGCTAAGCATGCAAGCACTCTTATATATACATGTAAGCAACTTAAAGCACCCGATCGTGATACATGTATTTGTGCAACATTTGGGTGTAAAAGGCGCTAAGCTATAAATCCGAGTGATTGATCATGAAGTCTATTATGTGATCGAATCCCACTAAGGTTTCTTGGAACATTGCGCATGTAGCCTTTCGAACCCTAGGTCTGTGATGCGGGTACATTTGTTGTCATACCGTCATGCTGCATGTCGAACAGGAGGGAAGGTGCTTCGGCCAGACAAGGTCCTGGTCGTGGTGGAGCAAAAGGGGCACCTGTCCTGTCCTTCTCTTTACCTGCCGGCTCGCTCTCCTTCTCCTTCTCCTTCTCTTTCCTTTTCATCATCATCATCGAGTACAACTACATTTTATGTATCTATCATCAATACAAGTCTAAAAATTATATTATGCAATGATATATTGCAACAGATGCATCAGCGGTTAAATTTCTACAGTCGAGTGCAAGCCCTCTCCACGAAGGCCTGAACTGTATTAAAGATGATCCTTAAAATTCCGACAAAAAGTGGAACGTACATGTAGTACATCATGCCTTACGAGATTATACTATGGCACATACCGGACAATATCTGGTATCTTCCGCCTTAGTACTACTACGCATAAGTATGTACACGTACGTAGGTAGTCAAGTGCCAAAGAAGTTCACTAATCTCTAATAAGCACTTTTGTTGGTACGTCAGCTGTCAGCGGGCAACTTTTACGCTATATGGATTTATAGTACAGTGTCAGATCAGGAAAACTTACTGTACCATGACTCTAATTTTAGCTAGTTGCTAGAACAGATACCGTTAATTTGATCTTGTGAAAAATTTGTCTTCGTTACCAAAAGGCCAGTTTATACCATGGAGATTGTCAGCTTGCTAAGTGGAAAACCTTTCGCACGCGAATAAAAAGAAAGCCATAACTCCTAAAACGGAAGCCTCCATAACTTAGATCCATACATGTAAGTTAGAGGAGAAGTTAGTAAAATATTTAGTAAAATCTTATTGTCGTGGGCAAAAGTCCCGTAATATTACTAGCTTGTCCTAGCTGAACCTTCTTTCAAGAGTCGAGAACTGGTCATTATGACATACAGTTAATCAAAATGACCTTTGTTGGACCAAATATCCGATTAGCCCCTTCTCGGATTGTTTCAAGATGACGGGGTGTGGGGAGAGGCCATTCGACATGCAGTTGGTCTAGCCCGCGGAGTGATCTAAGAGTGTACATACTTCAATCAAGGAATCCTCGATTGTGTGTGATACGGGTACATATATATGTACTTAATAAGTTAGACAACGAATCTTGCTGATGCAAGATAATGGTGAATTACCGGATCTCCCGTATATTCCTTGCTATATTAGTCTGCTTCCTGTAACAAGTATTGAGTAACAAACATCAGGGGTTAATTAGGATTGATTCATGATTCCTTGGGAGTAACATGTTGTGGATCAAGCTCAATTAAAATCAGAAACCCGAACTTGAGGGACCCTCGAGGCTTTGGTAATACTAAGGATAGATTATGTGATTTTAATTTAGGTACTGGTACTTTCTGCTAATATTTAATTATTAATGAGAACGAAGAACCGCCTAGAATTGAGTCCAAAACAGATGTTAGAATGCACAAATTAGGTAAGTATGTATATGTACATAGTTAAAAATTCAATGATAATCTGATATTGCTATTTGGGTTAGGGTAAGAACTTGGAAAGCCTGTTTACCCACAGCTCGGGGTCGGCCATGACCCATATGTAACCACATGTAAGTACATGCAAATGCCTCTTCTATTTTACGTATACATCTACTTACAAAGTACAAATATACATGTATGTATTAGCCTTGTAGAACTTTGTAGTTTCCATTAACGTAGTTTGTAATTCGTAAGATGACTCTAGATAAATTGATGCATGATCTACTCGGTTTGGGATAGAGAGGCATTACCTAGTAGATGTATAATCTTGTGTATATGTATAGGTACGTAGCTTTCTATAATATACGGATTTGCATACTTGGGGCTGATTCCTGCCTAAAAGGCACGTGCAAAGCCCGAATTACATGTATTATTATGTAGTTGCTAAGACTTGGGTTAGGGTTACTACTTTATCGTTTGCCAAGAAATCAATGATCTATTTCGAAGGCTTATTAGAATCTTCTTTGAAAGATACGTACACGTATTTCGAGTTGTGTACATAAGTCAACGACATGTACCTTTACCTTGTTTTGCCTGTGACTAAGATCAGAGGCGACGTTGGACCGTGACGCGGCTCTAAGCCCCACTAAACCTCCCCTTAAGCTAAAGTTTACCCCACCAAAAACACACCACCAACGAACAGCAACCTCACAAGTCTGACAGTTGCCGTAACCAGCTCATAGGAGCACCGATATATCAAGATGGATATGAATATGCCAGTAAATGTTCCAATAGACGATCCAAACGCAGACACTGAATGGTATAGCCTCTATTCTCAAAACTATAGGTACATACAGCTAATAGACACCTCCTATCTCAGGAACGACATCCTTCGGAAACATGGGGTCATTCCCGAAAAGCCACCTTCCCCGACTCCTATGATCGAGGAAGCTATTCTTGAGGGACGAAGATTGGCTCATGAAAACAGGCTCGAGGGAAAGGACTTGGATGAATTAGATGAGCTTGAGGACGAGGAGGACGAGGAGTTTTTAGCAATCTACAGGTACAGCGGAGCCCCAAAGGAATTATTTGATTCGAGAAATACATACTCATAATCAATACTTTTAGACAGAGACGTCTAGCTGAGCTCTCATCAATCTCGCAAAAGTCTGTTCATGGCCGTGTATACCCGATACAAAAGCCTGATTACGCTCGAGATGTCACAGCGTCCTCAAAAGATGCCACAGTTCTTGTCTTCTTGTCTTCTGGGAATTCTTCGAATACGGAATCGCGGCTATTAGCTGAGCTGTGGCGACGAGCGGCGGAGAAGTTTGGAGATGTCAAGTTCTGTCAAATCAGAGGGGACATGTGCATCGAGGGATATCCCGAAAGAAATTGTCCGACGATCTTGATTTATAGGAATGAGGATATCGTTAAACAGATTATAACACTCGCTGAGTTGGGAGGTACAAGCACGAGGCTCGAAGGTTCGTCCTCCCCTCCTCGGGTTAACGCTTGCGTCCATTATTTTTCTTTCCTTACTGGTTTACTATAGCGAGCAACGAGTGATATAGTGCTAATAATAGTATAGATATCGAGAAGCTACTTGTCTCTGTAGAGGCTATCAAACAAAACGACCAGCGTCTACGAAAGAAGACAGATGACGATGACGATGACAACACCCACAAAACTGGAATAAAAACCAGCAACCGAAAATCTCGAGTTGATGACGATGATGACGATGATTGGGATTAACAGATGTTTGTTTTGGGCAGATACTACCGAATTTTACCGCTGAATAAATAACTTTGGGCGAATATATTCTATAGCTACTTTCCTCCTCCCTCCCTTTCAACTTAGCCAGATGCAAGATTATAATATACCAACATTATATTGATGATATTACAATCCGAGGGCTCAGACGTATTCGGGTCACCACCGTATCACTCTTATAGCTTTCATCTAATGGTCATGTTGCCGTCTGGGACTAAAAGTTGAACTATATAGCAGCTGAAAAATTGACTACCGTGATCTCTGCAGAATTTAGTACAATTACATACCACCGGCTCCCAACAGTTCTTCTGTTTAGCTGCCATACAAAAGAAAGTGAATCGTCCGTCTTGCCTCTACAGTGTACTCCCTACCCACTGTGAACTTACATGCGATTTTCCCTCACATGACAGAATATAACATCTATCGCTTTCTACCCATGGGTCTTGATTTTGGTTGCCTGGGTTCAACTCGGCTTAGACCCGGTGTCTATTGTCTCTACAGGTAGATTCTGAATATGGCAACTCTGTGGGGCTTATTTTTTGATGGTTAATTTGTTCAGTAGTCATAGACATGATCACGATGATGGGGCCTACATGATTCTTATAACGCATAAGCATTTTGAAACTGGCTACGGAGGGTGATCCGCTGGTTTCACTTGCCTTTCCCGGGCTTTTGTGGGACCGTCCTAGTTAGATCCCTAGGTCAGCAAAAAATTACTGAAAAGAGAGGATCATCACTTTGCGCTTTTATGTGCACCGCCTCTCTGAGGTTAATATGTCGGGTGTGTTTCCTACGGGGATTTTCGAGTTCAAGTAGCACAAAAGTCAAGCTAGGCGTTAACCCCAGGTGAGCCGAGTTTCATAGTGGGGGTTCTGTGGGCGTCGAAGAGAAAACCCATCCAAATATTATGAAAGGCATAGCTTGGAACTTCTGACCCATATCCCCGGATCATTGGCATCCCCTACCTAAAGTTTGATCGCACCACCAGCACCGAAAGTAAAACCAAACACTAGGGAGCGGGTGTGGAAACATCGGAACGTAACTGGCGCAAACAGGCGAGATTGAATTGTGTTATTACCGTTGATCCCCAATACATCGGGCGCCTAGGTACTCTACGGTATTATCACTGACTCGTCTCAGAAAAAATAAAGTGGTGGAACCATCCTTCTCGTCGTTCCCGTGTGCACATACCGCGACGCCCAAATCCGTGTGCCTGCAGGGCTCACAAACCTGTGGATATTCGGGCCAATGAAAAAGAGTCTCGCGGTTCTCCCGCCGTGGTTGTTCTGACGGATACACACGCGTGCGGGAGTGCCAAGCTGGAAACACACTCAATAGATCTTGGGAAAGAACAGACGAAAAGATAGATAAATTGATATCAGGACATGCGATAATAAAGAATAAAGTGCCAGTACATTTACGTTACTCGAAAACAGGATATATATACACGATTTGCTACTACGAACACTTTTGAGATCTTGGTAGTTAAAGATAGCCAGAAGTAGTAGAATATAAAAAAAATATGCACATGGTTATGGAATTTCTAATGCGGGACCTCAAAACTGATTCACCAAGTGAATAGATATTTGGAAAAAGAGTGCCATTCATCGCTTCGGTTAAGGTTGCCTCCGAGAGGAAAAACAAGCTGATCAGGATCGATCGAAAGAATAACCTCCCGAACAAACCAAAATGATAATAACGAACAAGATAAAAGATCAAGAGGAAGAAGATGAAAAAGTAAAGAGTAAGAGAATAAGAATAAAGTAAAAGTGAAAATAAACCCCCATAAAAACTCCACAAAGAACGCAGGGAATCGAATAACGGATAGAGTAGCCCAGTCCAACGAGGCGCAGCGAAGAATACATTAGCCGCTGGGCAACCTTAGGACCCTCGGAGGTCAATAAGCTAAAGCGGGGTCACGGACAAGGTCCGCGCGTCCACCTCGTATTGTTGCTTCTGATAGGTTACCCATTTTTCATCTGTTTTCTTTCATATACTTTTTTTTTGAATGTTATTGGTATTTTTTTATAGCTTTAGTTGGGAGATTTTTAGTAGAGTGATCCTGGAGGAGACTCAACCAAAAGTTCATCGCGTCCGCTTCCTGATGAAGCCTGAATGGCCTCCAAAATTACACTTTCCTCGAATACAGGGCCCTGACCATCACATCGTGCTAACCCCTTTAGTCGATCGGAGATGTCGCCGATATCGACGAGGCCTTGTTCGTACAGAGGGTGACATACGATGAGATCCCAGGCGGCACCAGCTCCTAAGAGCCGTTCGCCCGTTTTGGGACTCGTTGATATCCGGTGTATTGGTCCCTGGTTAGGGTGTTCCCCGAATATTGGGGAGGTAAAAGCCGGTGGAGGGTTGGTTGGAGTGTGATCTGTCGGTTTGAAGCTCATTGCTGCCACATCTCGTAACTCAGGGGGAGATTGTCCACGCATATTGTTCTCGTGTAGTAAACGGTTCTCGAGCTTTGTCTTTTGGAGTTCCTGTTTTAAGATGTCGTTCTGGGCAGCTGTCTCCGAAGCGTGCTGTTCGAGAGTCTTGAGCCTGTGTTCGAGCTCTTTAACATGGCGTTCCTTGCGTTCCCGGAATGCTCGCTGACTATGACGCAAGTTAGTGTCTGATATCAAGTTATTCCAATACTGAGATCTGTACTGGAAACTTTGGGTTGAGTCCTTACGCTGCACGATTCTGTTCTTTCCTTCTCTGCTCAGGTGTCAGGATCTCGCTCTGTAAGATTGGTATAATCGCCTGCGTGATAACTTACCCTCTGCCCTGGAGTCAATTCCTTCTCCTCACTACTGCTTCTTGCCCTCTGTTGGCTGTCGTGATCAATCGGTGTATGCCCTCGAATTGAACCTGGTATATTTTGATGGTGGGATGGTGGAGCTTCGTAGGTAAAATCGAATTGTCCATAGCTAGGGAAGGCCTGCTACAAAGGAAATCGAAGATTAGTATAGAACCAGAGAGTGGACTTTTCATACCACTAGCTCAAGTGAGGTTTCATACTTACAAGAGGAGAGAAATCATCTGTCTGGTGGGTTGGTGTTGGGGTAGGGGGGTAGATTGTCGGAGGTTGATTGTAGTAAGGTTGTTGAGAGAAGGAGGCCATTTCTCGTTTGACTATGTCGAAGGATCAAAGATTGGGATACTAGACAGGAGATCGCTAACTAGTTGCTTTCACTTTAGGGATGGGATACGGAGGCTTTTATCTGTCTACGGAGATGTCCGTTCACTTCAAGTAGACGCGAAACCGTGGCGCGTGAGTGGGTGAGCTAGATATAGATTAAAGAAATTCCCGGGAGTTTGAATAAGGATGTTGATGGGTGTAGGTCTGGGACTGCGGAGAGAGGGAGAGTTCGTGAATGACTGGGAGCTGAGGAGCCGTCAGACGTTGTCAGATGGCGAGAAGGTAGATATCCGCCGGAAGATATTGAAGTCACGATAAAGTACTAGTAGGTAAGGCTGTGAGGCGGAGTCAACGTCGCGCGAGCGATTCTCTCTTACGGACTGGATCTGGGATCTTTTGTGGGTGCAGGGTTGGTACCTGGCGTTCCTGAAAAATCGTGGACTTTATGCTGAAGAGAATAAGCGATGTGTCAGATAACTCTTCCCGTGAGAACTATGTGTCGAATGAGATAGGGGTAAACTGAAGCAGAGTTGTGATCGGGGGAAGTTTCAGGAAGGATAACAAATTATTGGAAGGAAGCTTCAAAGGTATCGTGGAGTCTAAATGGTTCTGGGTATTCCTAGAAGATTTGCGCCCCCGCTTTCTTTCAAGGCTGTCGATCGATTGTGCAGTTGACCTAATTGGACAAGGCCCTGTGGTACTTCCCTGCCTAGCTAAAGTGATGCGGATCGTCCCAACGAGGATAGAGTCCTTATGCGATGCAAATGTTGGATTTTGCAGAACTACTAGTATTTCTCTGACGTTTTTGAATTGGGCCATTATTGCATACACCAAAAATCATAAGCTTGGCGTATTTTTGTATGGCATGCAATATCAGTCGCGTCCACAAACGTCAGTACATGTATGTACAGCTTACCCTCAAACGAACCAGAAAATGCAAGTAACGGAAATAGGGATTATTTGTATGAGAGAACGACGCCACTCCATACAAATTATCCTTGCCCTGAGCAACTGCATTTTCTGGTTCTTACGCTGGTAAGCGTGTAAGTAGAATAACCCTATGTAGGTACAATACATACACCCCTAAAACTGGCAATTGGTTTGGGGCTGAGCCCTCCAACATGGGCATGAATCGAGGAATCCAGACGACAAGCTCCCGGGGCGGCAGAAATTTAGAGTTGGGTAGAAACTCCAAACACTTGGTCGTTGGTTTTTCTCGTGAGCCTCCAATTCCATCTTTGGCATAATCGGCTCATTCTAGGGCCCTGCACGTTGAGTGAACTAGATCCAGAGGTAATAATGTTCGCTCTGAATATCCTCTTGACCAACCCCATCGAGCGTAATAGTAGCAAGATTAATAGCGTAATTAGTAGCTACACAGCTGCAGGCCCGCATTAGTATCCTACCTCCTTCAGCCGGAAACACTCACGAGAAAAAAGCAAAGAAGCCATCGTTATCGGAACTTGCGGCTCAAGTTTCACATCCGTAGATTCACAGAACGTCTCCGACACTCAATACGTACATATACCCATGAACGTCGTAGGTAGGTCCAATAAAGCGGAGTAGAATGCATAGGCGCCCGTTTGTAGAGTATGCCCTAATCACAGCAGGTATATGTATTTAGTACATACATACCCGAGAATGCGACCCACTCATATGCAATTTCTACTGGCCGCCGTGAAAAATGTACCTATGCATTAGACCTGCATTTTTGGATATTTAGCAGAGTACCTGTAGCGAGTATCACGGTCCATCCCTCGGCGGTCCGACTAAGCATAACCTCCGAGAGATATGGAACTCCAGGTACTTGTTGGACCACTGGTTCATGAGTGTGTACATACGCTATTCAATAAGACAGGGCTATGATAAGAGGCTTGAAACGGGTAGTGTGATGCGGTGCATCGCGTAAATAAAGCTCATCGAAAATAAATGCCGATAGTTAGTTATGTATCGAGGATACGAGCCTACGAATTCCTTGCATCAGATTGAGGCTGTACCTACACAATATTGTTGGAGGTGTTCTCCCAGTCCTTGAAATAACTTTAAATTACCCGTCTGCATGATGAGTTAAGCAGACATATGCATAAATGCCACATTTGGTAAGCAGTCTGCTCCATAGAACAAAGCTAAGACTGCACGGAAGACTTTCCTTCCCTCTTCTTTGCTTCCATCAATATTTTCATAGCGCAGCTGCCGGATAAAACCGACATCCTCATCCGCAACACTGCACCGACCATCGAGATTCCGGAGGGCAATGCATGCGTTAATATGATTCTACTAGATGTTTGTTATAACAACTTTTATGGTGCTTCTTTCCCATAGATTAATCAGAGATTATTTCCTGTTGCGTAGTTCGGATCAGCTCACGTCTGATCAAGGAAATGCATTAAGTGGTGTTTGTTGTATAAATTTAATATCGTAGTTAAATCGCATATCTCAAGGGGTTCAGCTGTTGATTTTGTTTTCCCTCCTGGCTAGGTTTCTACTCAGAAGATGTCACAATATTGAAATGGTGAATTTATGTAACTTTGTTTTCATAACCGTGTCTTTCTAGAGCTGATATAATTAATAAGCCACTTTTCTCTTTAACTACTCGAGATATGTAATGAGGAGGAAAATTTTGCGCATACAAATTGATCGATATTGGCAATCGCCCAATCGAAGATGCGTCGGATGTCGGAAGCTTCGGGGATAGTCAGGCCAATGCCTTATAAGGCTTCAGACCATCTAACCCATCGAATTACGTTTTTCTTTGGGGGGCGGGGTGTGCTGATTATCGTCAAAATTGAGTTTCTCCGTCCCATCACAGATCTGACTGATTGTAATCACTCAATTAATATGTCTAATATCAAATGTGGCCACGTGGGTAATTGATGGCCGTTAAGCTTAGTGTGTTGCTTAGAGTGACATGAGCTCTCCTAGGTACCTTGTAGACCAGCTACATCCTAGACCTCTGACGTATGGAATTGCCCATATTTACCGACAGCAAAAGAAGTGGCCAAATAGCTACTGAGAAATAAATATTCCTCTGTGGTATTATGTTTGAAAATATCAATAACTTGGTCCGTCCTATCACGACCCCGTGATCTATAGTCAGCTCGAAAATGCTCAATGAGTTGTGCTTAGATTCCCGAGTAAGAATATAGAGGCATGAATTAGAGTGGTTTGGCGCGCAGTGGCCAAATAGTAAAGAAACCAACCCGCCCGAGATTCTGATGCATAGGTGTGCTTACTAGGCTCGGGACCGAGGTGGAATTAGGACTCTGTGAAATCTTATAGTAAATGGGTAAACAATCCTGACCTTTTCGAATTCAACCTGGTTCTCTACATCTCAGTAAGAGTCAACATTTACATATATCTTTCCAGTCCTTAGCCATGGAGAAGCGAGCCAAATATATGGACACCTGAAACCTTCTGGTTTCACAAAGTCTTACTGATGCGCAAATCCAGAACCATGGATATGTTCTAATAGAAATAAGCTTCAGATGTGCTGCGCCCCTTTGTTTCAGAATCAGTAAATACCTTTTCCCTTTAAATTATAGGAATCCTAATAAGAAATTTTCTATACCTCAAGCTTCATTTAAGCTGCTCATCCACCTAGGAACCCAGATATCGGAGTACCTCTTACCGGGATAAATCAATCACTAATATTCCAAGTGTATTCAGTTTCCTGTCCTCTCATGGTAGCTTTGCGGTTTCGGTCAAGTGTTGTTCGTAATTTGTTGATTCATGTCTCGGTGAAGTTCCGTATTGTGAGGTGTAAATACGCGTCTTAAAGTTGATCTGGGGTTCCTTTTTCCTTTAATTTCTGGTTAAAGGTATTTTCGGACTGACTGTCCGCCCGGAGATGAAGGACTATGTCCAAACCTATCCAGAGATCATTCACCAGAATGATCATGATGGTCGCAGAGGCTGAAAAGCGGCATGAATATCCAAATCTTAAGGTAGAATATCTTCCTTTCCCTATCATCAATGAAGTGATGGTGGGCCTCGTCCGCAATATATTAGAGAAACGCTGCTTTGTTTAGTACAACTGATTTCCGTAGCTTCCCAGAATTTGAGTTAGTAATTAGACATACAATGCTTCCATAAGCGTTGTCAGCGATTAGCAAGCAATCTGATAATCATAATTAAGTACCCACGTTTAACAAACGCATGCATGGTAAGCAAAGCTTAAGCGTACTCTAATCGTATATCTGTGCCATCCTGGTCCTCGGGACGATCAAATAATGATCCCTGTATTTAAGCCTTGAGCCCCACGAGCTCAGAAAATGTGCTTTCCACGCATTGTAGATGCCGTCGCCCATATTTTTATCTGCGAAACCAAAGATCATGGTTTGATGGATTTTTTCACGTGTCGCTGCTCCATAAACGTTCTAGAATACCCTACTCTGCATATGTAGGTTTCCTAATTTGACTTTATGCAGAGCTAATTCATGTTAGTCGCATGAGATGCCCCTATCATGATCATATATATGAGAACGTGTAGCTTATACTCCTACAGCTACAGAAAGGAATCATCCCTAGCCCCAGCCCCAAGTCATCTCATAGTACCTAGAAACCCCAAGGGTAGATGGATCAAGAGTTTCGACGTGAAGAGAAGCTGTAAATCTTTTAGGAACTCATCTCATTTGACGTTGATATTTTAAAGCGGCGATTGAGCAGGGGGTTTTGAGAAAACTAGTATGATGATTGTTGAAGAATCGTATGTCGATTTTTAGCAAATAGTAATTCCAGCGGTGCGTTGCATTTTTCGTCATCCAGATCTAATATGTATGCATGTGTCTTTTCGGGGATGCACATCATAGTTTATCACTCGGTCACAATGTTTCAGAGTGCTTCTATTGATTGGATTAGTCTTCATTCTTTCATTGAAATCTTGGTAAAATAAGAGGATAGGGAAGGGAAACTTCCGCCCAAACATGTACATGTATAGGCCTGCTGCTGATTGTGGTGGTGGTGTGATGATGACAATTGCAAACACCAAAGCCAACTAAGTGTAAAGCGGCATTTTTAGAACTTGTGATAAAGAGAGAAAGCGAGAAGTGAGCTGCGGGTGATATGATGATGATGCCGATGGTAATGCAGGTGATGGTGATGGTGATGGTGGTGGTGGTGGTGGTGGTGGTGGTGGTGGTGGTGGCTTTAATTTGTTGATGTCTATGTATGGGAAGAAGATCAACTAGAGGTAGAGAATTAAGACGCTCTTGGTGACTTTGACTTAGCAAACATAATGTTTCACCAGTCATATCATGTAGGCGCTTTGGCAAGCAACCTAGGAGGGTTACGTGACATTATTTAATGTTCTTATATGTCATGCAATTAATTGTACTTCGGTATCAGGGGTAAGTGAGTAGAACGCGGCGGTTCATATTCGCGAGCAAAACAGGAAAACTACAGCTTTAGCCACGCTGCCACGTTCTACTCACTTACCCTTGATACCGAAGTACATGTCTCCATGAACCGCGTACCGGACACGCTAACTACGAACCCTCATGTGGGTATCAGAAGCGCGGTCCGAGTAACATTGTTATGTACATACATGAATGGTCACTCGATGACTGTTTTTTTTTTTTTTTTTTTTTTTTGTTTAATTCATTAATTGCATACTCGATGACTGTTTGGAGCATACGTGATAATTAATTGTTATTGCACATGTAGCACTCGCAATCATTTGCACTTCAATCCGGCTCTAATATACATATTGATATGACCAACTCAACTCGTCGTCCAGTATCTTCTCGGGTCAAAAAACTATGAGTCTCGTGGTATATAAGATCGATCATACGTATAAATACATGTATACTTTCACGAATTCATCTAACTGATCTGCGGCAGAAATCTTGCAAAGAAAACAAAAGCTCAGCAGACCCAAAGACGCACTTGAGGTCTCCAAGAAAACCACCAGCCATCCTTCTCAGGACTAACCAGGGGGGGCCTCTTCATTTAGATTAGTCCTTTTCAGCCACTCCGGGCCGCTCTAAACACTCGGATCAAACTTCATTCCTATACATCCATGCTTGCCTTGAGTTAAGGATGCTGGGACCTCCTTGGGATGCACCCCGCATGCAACCATTTGGCAAACCAATTCTGGGAGCGAAATAAGCATGACATGCGTCGATGTATTTGCCTTGCACGGTTTATTGATCAATAATCTCCAGGTACCATCACCGGGAAATGTGGATATAGGCGATACCGTCGTGATATGGTCTCCCACCCCGTATAATGCGAACCGATGTTCACGTATCCGGTAGACATGGTGGGCATGTTCTTCCTTTTCCCTCTGCGGTTCTTTTTTTTCCCTTTTCTTTCTCTTTTAGATTTCCCACCTTCTTTCCATTTCTTTCCATTTCTCTCCTCTTTTCCATTTTTTCCCTTCTTTCCCTTTCCATTCTCTTTTCCCTTCGTTCTATCTCCTTCCACTTCTTCCCTTCCTTCCTTTTCCCCCCTCTCTTCGGCCTTCTTTTCCTTCCATGCTTTAATCTCCCGCTTCAACACCATCACATCCTTCTTCATATAGTCCTTCCAGATTTTATCCGCTGCTTTCCAGCCTTCTTCATCGCTCTCAGTTAGCAGAGGTTCGCTCTCAACCACATTTATCCTTTCAGATGGTTCGCCAATAGGCGTGAGTTTTTGAATGAAAGATAGATGTTTATTCCAGGCTACTTTTTGTACCTTACTCTCAGTGACAACCTTTTCCTTGATAAATTGCAATGTTCCATCAAGCTTAATTTCAAACTCATACTTGTGGCACATATCGGTAACAGAGCTGCCCCGATCCCCACATTGCGACTTAAAATAATAAAAGCTGATAAATCGTCCTTTCTTAGGCAAGTTTACACCGAGAGCAACAGTGACAACTTGTTCAGGAATACAGCATACAGAGCGGTAATGGTCTAAGCTGGGTACTGCAGACTCTTTATGTGTGAGGCTGCTGGATTTGGTGGTTGAGGAGACTCCAATACCCCCTCCTCTAGACGATCATGTCGATCGTTGATAGCATCATTGTATATCTGGCGTTTTTGAGTAAGTGAGTCGGGATGATGAAAAATATCGTGAGGATGTTATTTATGGCTTTGTGGGGTAAAGGGGGAGGGAAAGGGGGGGGGGGGGGGGAGAGATCGAAGTTAAGAAGACATGTGGTGGGAGATGCGTAATGACAGATAATATGAATTGGCTTAGTTGCAGGAACATGTAGAGGCGGAAGTGTAAAGGTGTAAATTTGGTGCGAGTGCGATTAGGTTTTTGTAGAGCTAGTTCACTATCGATAAAACTCTGTCAAGATACAACAGCAATCATCATTATATGGCGCTTTTATTTACTGCATTTCTTTCCTCCCACGCAGCCTAACTACCCAGGCGTAGTGCTGATGGATAGCACCAGCGTACTTGCACTTCACAATAACAACCCTGCAAGAATATTCTTTCCCTAATTTGGGATATCTTCTAAAAACTCCAACGCTCCAAAAAGGAAAGATAAAAACGGCAAAAAGAGTAAACAGTTAAAAGAAAGTTTTCAAAACGATTAGCGCAATTGCAAACAATAATAGACATTCGCTCAGCCCGTTCCTAGCTAGCCAGCTCCCAAACCCAAACTCCTGTGCCAGAACAATTCAATTCTCCAACTCTTCATCTTCTGCTACTAAAGGTGTTCTTTCCGATATCTCGCCAGCATCACTGTGCCTTATCCACCCTAACCCAGACGAACTTCCTGCCGCAGTTCCCCTCACTACATCCCCTTTACATATAGGACACGTCCGTCGTCTCGTAGTTAACCAGGGGGTTCTACATCAAGTTAGCATTCTTTCTAATCTGGAAGGAAAAATGTGGAACTCACATGCAAGTAGCATGAAATTCATGCCCACATGGTAATCGCATTACCCTGCTAACTCCATCGACATATTCCTCCAGGCAAACTACACATTCTACGGATCCGCCCATATACCTGCTCCTCCTTGGAACTTCGTCCCTAGAATTGTTCTTTTCCACGCTCCGATTAGGACCCGCCGCAGTTGCTGTTTGTAACGACGATGACCTTGGAGGATGTAGAGATGGCTGGGATGATGGTGTCTCTGGTAGAGATGGGGGCTCTGATGATGATGATGACGATGGGTGAACTATAACTGGACTAGTGGTGGTGGAGGTAGATTGATATGTCCTCACAGGGAGACGGTCTACAACAGATTTCGGTGCTCTCCAACGGCGTCGTCGAATCATTGAGCGGATGAGAAGAAGTGCTGTCGGCAGGGTCAGCCAGACACACAGAAAGAGAATTAATCCAGCAATAAACTGACCGTAAACAACCGTTAAAGTAACCAGAGGGCTTATAACCAATACAAGTAGCGTATCAAACAGTGGCGAAGTGCTCATGCTCATGGGGGTGAGTGTGATCCACAATCCCTCCCTTTCATTCTCCCCTTCCACCACGACATCATCTTTCTTCATTTCCTCTGATTTGACCACAAACACAATGCCCTCTAACTCGCCTGACATGGGCGGTCTGTGGGATGAATCGACCTGGACCCCTTTCCACTCGGGTAAACTTCCAGCAATCATAGTTGGAGTGGTTGCAGCCTTTTGAATTGAAGTAGATGTTTCAATTGTAGCCCTACTAGAAGTTGAAGTTGGGGAAAGCGCCATTCCGGATTCGTGTGGTTCAGAATCAGTTTTACCCGGGAATAACCATTTGATTCTCGATTTTCCTTCTTCCTTCGAAGCCGGCTGTGCTGGAGCTCGGGATGCTGAAATTGGCGGTTCAGTGGCGGGCATTGAGTGATGCAACGAAGTCAAATATTTCGGCAGTAGCGAGGTCAGCAGCCTTGCGGTTGTATGTGTCGTGAAGACAGACGGAATTGTAACGTTGCTTGTATCCCCTATTATTGAATCTGCAAGTCAGTTTCATCCGTCACCAAACGCGCTTTGCGATATCATCTACGGCCCCCACCCCCTCTAATAGGGAACACCGCATGCACCCCACAAAAATATCAAAGGCAATCTGGAAATGTAGATTGTTGTGCATACCATTAGCATACATTGTCACTAGACCACTACTTCCTAGGCCCGTTCCACTCCTTTTATAGTCGCCTACAATCAGCGCGACAGCGCCTCTTCTCTGAGCCCATAGAACCTTCTCTAGAAATCCACATCCGCCCCGGGTAACGAGAACAATCTTCCCTTCAATCTCGGCGCTCTGCTGCAAGCTCTCGATATCTGCATGCTGTGACTTTGATTTTTCCTTGTTAGAGGCAGATGAAGCATAATTCATATCATCGGTCCCGTCCTCCTGGTTTGCTACTGAAGGTGGCGTTGCGGCAGAGGGATCCCATTCTGGAGTATCGTCGCATGCTAATTGGCCTTCCTCGAGAACAAAGAGCTCCCCTTTGAGCCCGGATTTTGGTATTGAAGGGCCAAAAGCTGCGGGTCGTGATATGAAGCAGGTTGAGTTATCATCGGATAGCGATATAACGGTAGTGGATGGGAATAAGAAGTTATGGGCACTCCGGGTGGAGGATGGTGTGGTGAGCGACGCCAAGGAAATGTAAGAAAAGCAGAAGATGATGAGAAGGGAAATTATCGTGACGAGAATGCGAGTTAATGGAAAAGGCATAATTAAGGATAGTAGTAGAGCAAAATTTCACGGGGGTTGAAATTCCCTCGGTAGAGGCGAGATGTCGTTGGTTTGTGACAGGAGGGGTCGAGGGGTGGGTTGAAAATCAATGATGACGATAGGACAACAATGGGGGTTAGGTAAGATGACGAGATGCAGAACAAACTGAACGCGACCACTTCTAGATATTCAATAAAACGGAAATGGAAGCTGGTAAACTCTAATCAGTGTACCAGACAACGCACACACAGCAGCAGTCCCAAGCGTGAGAACAGCTACGGGGGAGAATGAGGAGAGATATATGTAGTAGGTAAAGATATCAATAAGTGACAGCAGTAGTGGTACAGAAGGAGGAGGAGGAGGAGGAGGAGACGGTGGTGGTCGAAAGAAGAGGAGGAGGAGAGTCGATCAACAGATGATAATCAACAGCTGCAGCAACAGCCCACACGGACACACACACACGACACACCAACACACCCAAGCGCACAGGTAAGCCTGGTATATAAAAAGCACAAGGAGGGCCCGAGACTTTCAGAAGGTCAGAGTGGCTTTCTATCCCAAATGAGAGCGAGGCTCACCAGGAATAAAGGATCGGAAGAGAGGTTTTTTAACTAAGAGAGAGGTAAACGAAAAATGAGTGCATACGATGGTGGAGAGAGGGGTGTAGTCGCCAAGCTACCCCAGTTATCCACATCCTTGCACCTGCAGACAAAGCTCTTCTCGCCTCATCTAATCTTTGTCCATTGAGAATGATCCCGAGACTGTTTTTAACAACTTCTGTCTTCCCTACATGTAGATATTTTCTAACAACTTAAGTCTGTGCTTTATGTCACATAATTCGGTATATGTAGGTACGTATGACTGCACTTGATCTTGATCAGAGATAAGATAAGATAAGATTTTATCTTATATCAAAACAGAACTATAGCTAGGAGTAATCGTTACCCTCGGAGAACTTATGGTAAGAGTCATTTCGCATATATGTAGTTTACATGTATGGCTCGAGAAGCTATGGTGGGTAGGTGTGTAAACTTCGGCGTTTACAGCCAATCAATCTATAGAAATTGGGAGATCTACTCCCATAATGGTACAGCGCCGGACAGTCAAAATCAACCTCATGTTCTTTTCAAGCCAGAAACTAGTCCTAATCGGGTAATATGATCATCTAATTATCCCAATATGGTAAGAATTATCCCAAATTAATGTGGCCGCCTTGGCATAAAGCTATTAAAGTTATTATTTCACACCTATGTTTTTTTCGGGCAGATTGCACCAAATGTTTGAGAGGTCATAGTGCAGCCAGTTCTTAATTATTTTAAATCCCCTTTTATGGGGATGTTTACAACCATGATTAAACCCATTTTACAAAAGAACATTATTTCTGGACAAGTGTTGCGTTGTTGAAAGTCGATGGGGTGAAGGGGAGTCGGTGGTTGCTCTGGCCGGCTGGTTTTGGCTGTCCGACACCGTACTAGCGCCTAGCCCAATGGTGGAATTTTCTCTAATTCCCATACAAAAAAAGTTCCTCTGAAGTTGACACACCCACCCCCTATGCCTTCTCGCGCCATATATATTTATTGATTCCCAACGTGATAACCGATAAACTTCTCGAATAAATCTGGCTGTCAAAGACACCCTTAACCATTACTCTAGGTCAGTATGAATTAAACAAAAAAAACTCCAGGTCAGTAGAGTACTCGTATATGTATAAGAACATGCGTCTAAAGGTTCGAGATACTACAAAAGTGAATAGCAAGTGGCGCTTTTGAACTCAGTAAGCGCGATAGTGTGAGAGATTCTTAGTACACAGAGTAGGGAATACCAGTGCTGAAATATAGCATGACCGCGTGCTCAGATCCCTAACAGGGTTCTAAATCTACATATGTGGTCCGAGGGTGTCAAATTGGGTTGGTATTACTCATATACAGCAGTCAGAGTTATAGAAACCCGGGCAAGTATTCATAGAGTTCACGCCGAAGGCAGCTAGTGGGAATCAGCTTGTCATGAAATATCACTCGTTTCCCGACTCGGCACGAATGTCCATACCGTTAATCTACATGTAGAGTATACGGAGAAACTACATGTAAGTCCTGTTTAGATAGCTGATTACACATAACTGAATACTTTTTGATTGGCTAGAGCGTTCAAGCGCGCCTATATACACAAAAAGTCGGCTTTCATCGTTTAACTGCATGACATGCAGTCGTATACGTATCTGAAACTGAGTGCAGTAACGGTATCTCCTGAGCCAAAACGTGTGACAAACTTGCTATTAATTATACCATACTAACAATTTCGATGGCTTAGATCTTCGTTTGCAATTGGCGGTTGAAAGTGGTGGATGTCAAGTCTATCAGATCTGGACATCTTAGTACCAAGCCCGCCAAGAAAAAAAGACTTCGAATCCACCGGCGAAGTGGATCAAGAGTAGTGGCTCTCCATGTATGCACCCCACGCTGTCTCGTGCCCAGCCTTCTTCTGATTGGTCAATAATCGGGTGAGTAGAAGCTGCGTTGTTGGGCACATTTGCTGTAAAGTGATTTGTCATGTATTAGTCAGCACAGCACGTGATAACGTGGACAATCCCTTTGTAAAGGTGTTCTCAGCGGAACGACCTCATAGCTAGCTCGCTGTTTTCCTTTCTGTTTCATCATCATCCGTCGTTAGTATCGTCAGAGAAGTTTTCAGTTTGATTCCTCCCTGGCAATAAATAATATTTTATTCATTTTTGTCATTTGAATCGTCGTGAAGCCGAAGACGAAATTAGAACCCGGCCAACAGCGTGAGGTACGAACCTTGGCGCCAAGGAGTTTGGCTGGGCACGAGACAGCACCCCACGGTCTTGGCACGCCCTATGGCGTGCTATCTTTGCCCCTCACTTCACCTCCTTTGGATAAGACCACTTTATCATCAGGGACCGTTTTTAATTCTAGCTCACCATCTACTATTATTCGTATGTTTAGGTATTACTGTGTAACTCTAAGATACATGTAGTCATGTGAATTGGAACTCTAGTGGCCCCGTATGAGAAGTTTAAGATGCTGAGATATGCCGTCTTTCACCTACATATTAAACGCATGTGAAGGCAGAGAATCGGAGACATAGGCACGTGAAAATGAACATGATAGATGATTGACCCGGGGCGAAAGATATTCAGAAATAGTAGTATGTTCTAGATAGGATTCTCAGCGCTTGACTTTATTGTTCAGACTTGCAAAATGACGCCTTTATGGGTTGCTACCGCCGTTACACAGAATATTGCCCCTCGATATTCGCCCGAAACCTCTACCACTGTGCAATTGTGTTCAACGACAGAGATCCACAAACATTCATTTTGATTGGAGTGGACGTGACTAAAAAAACCAAGATGAATTGCTGGACGCGCGACTTGTAATTAATTACTCAGAATTTGATGAAAACGCATCATACACACCCCGTGGACCGTCATAAGCTTTTTCGCGTACATATGAGAAAAGCAAAAAAGAACATGGTCGCGTCGTCCCACATGCGCGATCAGCCCAGAGGAGGGTCTTTTAGCGCCACCAGCTACCACTACCCCGCGTTTTTCTGGTAACGGGCCCTTGCCGCCATATGGCTTGGCAGTGACGTCAGCTCTCCGTCACATCATCAGGTACGGGACACCTGTGGCTGGCTCAAGCTGCGTAAGGCAGGAGGCGGAAAGGGTAGAAAAGTTTATTTGAATCGACTTTCAGGGTACATGGAATTCGTGCCTTGGAACATGGGAAAAGCAGGTATCCTCGCGTGTCCTTAATTTACCCGCCACCTTTCACGCCTGTCATGCTTCTTCTTCTGTGTGTAGAGTATTAACAGAGTAGACTAGAGTACATGTAGGCACAATACATGTAGCCCTTCAAAGCCACACGCTAGGTAGACGTCATACCTAGCCCCGTTAAGCGTCTACACACACCCAGCCAAGCATCAACAAAGTGTTCAGTACCTACAGAACCGCTAAGGGGCTGCTTTATTAAACAAACAGATCTTGATCGATCAGTGAAGTTTCATACTGGATATTCGCTCATCATGACGTGCACTCGGCCATTACTGTGCCAGCCACATGAGGCGGGTTGCGGCTTTCTACACCGTAACTCACACTGCAGTACCTGCCAGAACCACATTAACCCTGTCTGGAGTGTAGGTTACAAAAACACATGAGGTTATTACAGCCTGATTCAGGATTTTAACATGCTCTTATCTAAAATTGGAGGCTTGTGTGAGAAAAGACCTTGTTAAGCAGCTCCGCACATCTAGGTTCTAAACAAGGGTCAAGTGCTTTGAAGGTATGGATTATCAATGACGATACATGATGTCAGATCTTCTACAAACGGTGCTGCGAATTGCTCAATCGTAAACAAAATCCAAGATCAGATCAAGAAGCCTAGTTTTGCCCATAGACAAAGAATGCTTATAAGGACTGGGCTTTCCCCTCGAATACCAGATTCTTTTTTCCTCATCATACCCAAACAATACAAACAACATCACGAATAAACATCATCTGATTTTACCACTATCTTCACTCATACTCATACAAACAACTTCATAAATCATCAATCATGAGCGGAATCATCAACAAGGTCAAAGACGCCCTCAGCGGTGATCATCACGATAACACTACTACTACCACCGGCAGCCACGCAACACACAGCACGAATGCCGGCCCTCACAGCTCAAATGTGGCCAACAAGGCTGATCGTAAGTTTAACAAATATCTACTTCATTTGGTTTACAGTTGACTGACAAACATTATAGCCCGTGTAGATTCAGACCGCGATCACCGTGGAACCACCACCGGTGGATATGGATCTTCAGCCACCACTGGATACGGTTCTACAGCTACTGGTTCAACAAACCACGGCCCTCACAATTCCAACGTGATGAACAAGGCCGATCCTCGCGTGGATTCTGACCGTGACCACCGCGGTACAACTCACCCTGGTACCGCTGGTGGTGTTGGCGGTTTTGGTTCAGCTCACACCGCCGGATCCACAAACTATGGCCCTCACGACTCCAACGTGGCAAACAAGCTTGATCCCACAGTTGACTCTGACCGTGACAACCGTGGAGCTCATAACACTCACAATCCCCTTGGTACTACAACTGGCGGATACGGGGCCCACGGAAACACTGGGTCAACCAACTACGGTCCTCACGACTCCAACATGGCAAACAAGCTTGACCCCCGAGTTGATTCTGACCGCGATAACCGTGGCGCCCACGGAGTGACCGGCACCGGAGTTGGTGGAACCACCTATGGTTCACATAACACCGGCCCTCACAACGCTCCCGTTTTGAACAAGGCCGACCCCCGTGTCGACTCTGACCGCGATCATCGTGGTGCTGGAGCTGGAGCTTTCGGAGCTGGCACTGGTGCTGGCGGATACGGAACTACCCACACCGCTGGATCCACCAACTACGGACCACACGATTCAAACATGGCAAACAAGCTTGACCCCCGAGTTGATTCAGATCGCGACAACCGTGGTGCCCACAACACTCACAATACCCACGGTGTTACCACTGGTGGCTACGGAACTCACAACGCCCCAGGATCAACCAACTATGGTCCTCACGACTCCAACATGGCCAACAAGCTTGACCCAACAGTTGATTCTGACCGAGATAACCGTGCACATGGAGCTCACGCCACCACTGGCAACCACGGTACTACCACTGGACTTGGAGGATATGGTACTACTCATACCGCTGGCTCAACAAACCATGGACCTCATGACTCGAACCTGATGAACAAGGCTGATCCTCGATTCGACTCTGACCGCGACCACCGTGCAGCTCACGGTGTTACTGGAGCTCACGGTGTTACTGGAGCTCACGGTGTTACCGGAGCTCACGGGCACGGAACCCACAATGTCCACAACACCGGCCCCGCACCAAACACTGCTGGTCCCCACAAGAGCGATATGATGAACAAACTTGACCCCCGCGTCGACTCCGACCTCGACGGAAGCAAGACCATGGGTCAGGATAAGACCTACTCCAGCGGAACCACTGGAAACACTCATTCTGGTTCTCTTGCGTAAGTAAAATCACTGTGTAGGCTTCTCCCTGCCGCCCCATCCTGGACATTATTAGGCGTAGAAGCTAACGTACTTTACAGTGGAAAAGACAGAACAGATGCGGCGCAGGTTCCGCCGAGCGCATTTAAGCAGACTGGTGCTGGAGGAGATATGACGCACACGCATGTCTAATATTTCCTTTCTTATTTTTTTCTGTTCTGACGATATCAATACGAGGATAATGACTGTATCTTTTTTGTAACCTTCTTGTTCTTTGATGCGGTTTATATTTTCTGTTTCTGGGATGTACGAGTACGATGGGATGAAATTTATACGGAGTAACTAAGTTAGTTTTTTAAATTTACTGGTACTGGTTGTCCAAATATTTGATGGTTCACACTTTGATCAAGGAAATGATTTCTCGGCCATGTTTTTGGGCAATGTTGTCTTATCTCCCCTTATCTGATTGCTTGGTAGCGTGCAACCCCAAAACTCCGCGCGGGGCATCGGGCTGGTATCCTGTCTTACAATCCTGTCTTATGACTGGCTAGGGAGAGGAAGAGCTTAGACTCACGATGCTGATACTCAAGGTATATACACAAACCGATACCTTTAAAAGGTACGCCTGCCATTCCCCCGACGTAGCATATTCAAGCCTGCCCCCTTACTTGGGAATAAATGGGAAAACCTAGAAAGGCACTAATTCCGACTGGGTATGCGTCGCTGAGACATAGATCTGCATGTTTATTGAACGACCCTCAACAAAATGTATTAGTTAGCGAAGTACGAAATGAAGAGTGTTTTCCAGCGTGTATTTCATATCACCCCCCCCCCCCCCCGGGGAGCCTGCCAGTGGGTGGTACCCATGGCCATGTCTCAATAGACCATTTTATATGCTCCCAATGACTTTCAATTGAGCCATTTTCAGAAGTCGTATTCGCATGATAAATAGAATACATAGTGCTTAGATCAACTAGGATGTTTAACACTCATAGCAAAAGCGCTCATACTCGAATTGGCAAAGGAACTATGAAAATCAGATTTCCAACCCTTGAGTAAGTAAGGTTGGTCCGTCTAACACTATACCGTAGCCTATCGGATATGCACCGGGTTTAATAACTTTACCGTATTCAACCACATATATGGGTCCGACTGGTCCGGATTCAACTGATCCGTCTACCACGCCATTCCTTATCTTGTGATCAGATAACAACTAACTCTCTAGAGGTGGTCGAGCCGTTGTAGCCGCTGCAGGACAAGGATCATAGCTGTCTTAGCGCCCATTATCAGATCCTGCACCGGCCGTAATGACTCCGAGTGTTCCTTATCAGATTCTTCAAAACCATCCAAATGCCCACATATACGAGACTTAAAAGAGAAAGAAATCTTCCCATAATTCCAAATGTTGGTCATAAAGCAGTGGTCTTCAGCATATATCTCCTACCGGCTATTTTCTTTCCAAAAGCCTAAATCTTTTATTTCTTCCACTCGCAGCATGTCTTTTGTTAACTCTCCCAATGACTTGCGCACTACTTCTTCTGCTATCACTACCAATGCTCCGAGAATATTGGTTATTGGAGCGGCGTATGGTGGATTATCCACTATCATGAACATACTCAACCTATGTGATGGGAAACCGCAATTTCAAAGTCCCATACCCATGAAACAAGTGCCTGTACCACAAAAGACACCACTAATAACACTCCTCGACGAGAGAGATGGAATTTGTAAGTACCTATACACCTCTTTTCATATATAATATTAATCCCCATCAAAAAGTCCATACAATGGGTGCCCCCCTGGCGCACACTTCCAAAGCCTTTGCCCCAACGGCATGGCAGACATTCAGCTCCGTTGGTCCCCTAAACCGTCCCAACGTTCGTATCTTGAATGGCCGCGCCACTGGCATTGACCTGGCTGCGAAAATGGCCACTTATAGCACCGGTAAAACTGAGGAATGTGTGGAATATGACTACCTGGTTGTCTCCACAGGCTCTAAAAGATCATGGCCTATTGTACCAAAGGCGCTTGATAAGGTCTCGTACTTGAAGGATGCAGAAACTCATATAAACAGTCTCGAGAATGCTTCGAGTGTAGTCGTCATTGGAGGTGGTAAGTCTCCATTTATAAACTTCCCTCCGTCTATTCATCGTTTTCGAGGAAATTATTGACACAAACAAGGAGCGGTTGGCATCGAGGTCGCCTCCGAATTGAAGATTCTCTTCCCGTCAAAAACGATCACACTCGTCCACTCCCGCGAGCAGCTCCTTTCCTCCGAGCCACTACCTGATGAGTTCAAGCAAAAGGCATTATCCCTCCTGCAAGACTCCGGGGTAGAAGTAGTTCTCAATGCTCGTGTTCTCAGCGACGAAGAGACAGGAGATGGATTTAAAGTCGTCCTGTCTACAGGCACAGAACTCACCGCCGATAAAGTGATTTATGCAATTTCAAAACAGGGACCCCAAACTAACTTCCTACCCAATGAGGTACTGACTGAGGATGGGTACGTTAAAGTCAATGCAACCATGTCTTTTTCAGCCCCCATCCCGAACGCGCGCTCGCACTTTGCCGTAGGCGATATCGCGTTCTGGCCGGGTATCAAGCGAGTAGGGTCTGCAATTATCATGGGACAGTTTGCGGCGTCGAATATTGTCGCTATGATTGCTGCTGGAGAACAGGGGAGGAGCGAGAAGGAAACCGTCAGTCAAGACATGCCGAGGGTGGAGCCGATGATGGCATTGGCGGTGGGAAATAGGCAGGCAGTCGGGTGGCAGGGGGGAATGGGCCTGTTTTGGGGCGAAGAACTGTGGAGAGGGCAGTTTGGTGAGGACATGGGGTTTGCGGGTAAGGGTTCCCTTAGACTTGGGTAATTGTAATATCGTGGCTAACAGGGTGTATATATACATATAGTTGTGTTGGGGCATCTGGGGCTGACTGTGTCGAGTGAGGAAAAGAAGTAAGGGGTTGATTGTAGGTCTGGAAGGGTTTAGGGGCAAGAAAGATACAAGCAATGGGGGGTTTTTTTTTTGGTTTCGTTTTCAGATGTGTGTATGTGATTTGCTAGATAAAATTCCACGCTTTTTAAAGCTCTTCGATCGATATTGCGAAGTCATCAGCCATATGACCATGCCCTTAACCAACAAAACGCAATTAGTAACTCCGGCTTGTAACCTTGACATAAGGTCTTACAGTCCTTTACAAGAAATAATGTGTGTACATGACTATGGGAGTGATCGGTCTTGTCGAAGAACTTCGATGAAGGTACGTATAGTACTGCGGTAATTCTGCGACCGATAGGGATCAGTTACACTTACCCTAGGGGTCAGCAGGATCATAAAAGATCACGAGAGTCCCGAAGGAAAAACTTATAAAGAATCATTGAGGTCTCCATAATCTAGCCACTCTTCAAGGGTTTTGCGAACAAGAGGAGTCAGGGTTGGACCTTTCTGACTGGGAGGTCATGATATCTCACTCGTTTTGCTGCGCATGAAAACCGGGGTTAGGGTTACTCTGCTCTATGTATTATTGCAATCCTATAATATGATAAAATAATCTCCTATAATATAAAGGTCAGGACGGATTAAGATCTGCAGGAACGCCGGACGTAATTAGACGTACGTTAGCTTCCAACAAACGAAAGTACTCAGCACAATCTTTGCGGGAATGAGTAAGAATCACTTTCTAGCAGGGACAACTATACATAAATTCACAATTAAATCATTCCTAAGATTATTGATCCTCATTGTTACCATACTGCGTCAGACGGTCAAGGCCTCCAAAATTTGTCAATGACCAATTTCCAAGTCTGGCACGTTATCAGTTTAAGAACATTATGTCAGGTGGTTCGTCAATCTTAGTGGTAACACTGGACAAACCCCTAATATAATATGTTAGGACGAAAAGAATTTCGCGAATATGACGGGCACTGGTTGACCAAAAGCCTGCCAAGGGGGGGTCAACCTCTAGTAAACAATGGTTTTGTCACATCGACGACTCGTAGAAACATTCGGGGCAACTACAGGCTACAGCCAATCATCATCCCTGACTCTTGATTTGACCTTCACGTGGATTAAGGGTTCTTCGGAACTATGAGTCGAATTGTGGTTAGACTGTGCACTAGTAGACGTAATGCTGCATGACATTGTTTATGTCTTGGCGTCGCGTAAACCTTGGAAGTTCTTGGGCGGGCAAAAACCACCATCTGTCCTGTGCCGTCCCTCGTTCTTAACCCCTCCTCACAGAGAGAGAGAGAGTCTCTCAACTTCTTTCTCTTTACCTATACCCTCCACCCCCATCTTCAGGCTCAGTGGGCCAAACGAGAAAAAAAAAGATGTATATCCGACACTCACATCTTAAAAACCTGAGGGAGTACCAATACTCCGGCGTTGATCACTCTTTGGTTTCACGATACATACTCAAGCCGTTTTACACGAATGTTTTCATACACGTGTTCCCAATGTGGATGGCGTAGGTTTTCCCTGCACTTTTTCTCAAATCACTTCATGAGCCCTCACTGACATGTTTCAATTATTTAAAGGCCGAATCTTGTACGAATTCCTGCCTTCCATTCATCACTCTCTTGTTCTATGCAAGGGGATATACATACTAATTGATGGATAGGTCACACTATCGGGATTCTCGTTTGTGATTATTAATTTGCTCACGCTGTTATGGTACAACCCAACGCTTGATAAGGACTGTCCTGGATGGGTCTACATGAGCTGGGCCATTGGACTATTCTTGTACCAGACTTTCGATGCCTGCGATGGAGCGCAAGCCAGGAGAACAAGGCAGAGTGGCCCATTGGGAGAGTTGTTTGATCATGGTCGGTTTCACATAGGACTCACTGATCTTGGATTTTCGCTAATGTAAACAGGCGTTGACGCAATGAACACAACTCTTGAGGTGGTCATCTTTGCCGGCGTTATGAATCTTGGGCAGTCTTGGGCTACATTGGCTACATTGTTCGCGTCTCTTTGCGCGTTTTACTTGACCACTTGGGAGGAATACCACACTGGCACCCTCTACTTAGGCATTGTATCAGGTCCTGTCGAGGGCGTCCTGACATTATGTGCCATCTACGCGACAACGGCCTTTGTTGGTGGAAGCTTCTGGCAAAAGCCTATGCTAGAAACTCTTAGGCTCCCAAGACCGGGATTCTTACCCGAAGTTTTGAGGGACATGCAGTTCAACCACTGGTACCTTGTCTATGGAGGGATTATGCTCTCTTTCAATATTATTCAAAGGTAAGAACTCCCCGAATCTCATCATGTTCCTGGGAAATACCCCGCGGCGAAGGATTAAAATATTTTTAACCCCGAGGTCTCAATGAAGACTAAAAATGCAACACAACTCTAATTTTTTCATGACGCCCCACATCTTATATTATTTTGAATATTTACCCTCAATTCTGAGCTGGATGATGCTAACTCCTGTTGGGATGGGATAGTTCTCAAAATGTCATTCGCGCTCGCCGTGCAAAGGGCCGTAGTATCTTCCCTGCGCTTGCTGGTCTTGCACCATTCTTCCTGACCTGGGTGATGATTCCTGCCTGGTGTTATCTCCGCCCCGAGATTCGTACGGAGCATCTCGTCCCTTTCATGTTTTTCATTGGGGCCTCGTTTGCCTACCAAGTTGGCCTTATCATTGTCGCGCATCTCACAAAGAGCGCGTATCCATACCTCAACATCCTTTCGTTGCCTATTCTTGCCGGAACTCTTGACGCATTGGGCCCATTCTTGCAGGAGAAGTTTGGAAAAGATGTACTTGGATGGCCGAGCGTCTTGGGTGGTGGCCCATACGTGGTGGCTTATGTTTTCGGCTGTCTTGGACTCAGCATTGGTGTTTATGGTAGTTTTGTGGTCGATGTGATTACAAACATCTGCGAATACCTCGATATCTGGTGTTTGACGATCAAACACCCCTTTGACCCACGAGACGACAAGCCTTTGAAGGCGCATTAGATGAGAAATGGAGTTTGGTTTGCGAGAAGTCTTTGTTTGTTTGGGGCGCATGCGTTGGAGGACAGGGAGTTTTAGGATTGATTTAGGAGCACGATGAAGCAACATGAGAAGCATGACCTTTTACACGATACACATGTTAATCAGCGAGAGTACTTAGAGCTAGAAGTAATATCAAGGCTTGGCAAGGGATATTAGTATACATATTTAGTATTTAGCAGTACGTCGCAAACGCAAGGCAGATTGAGTTTCCAGATAGACTTGTAGCCGTGCGCATCTCCGTGATCAGATCGCCCTGTCTCCATGGGCAGATCATACATCGCAGTCTTGGAGCGGAGTGGTAGCGAGATTAGACGCGTAATCGGGGGGAGTGTCAGGACCCGTCCGGGGCAGGGCAGGGCAGGGTGTCAACACGAGACAGGCCTTGGTACATACGGTGAGTAGAGTAGGTTCATGTAGCTACAGGTTTGTGCATACTCTGGAGAGTAGAATAAGCCGTGCCTTTGGGGGGGGGGGGGGGGGGGCCTGGGCAGACCTTTTTGATGGAGGAGTGCGTGGCACTGGTAGGCTTAGAGGAGGGGATTTAATAATAACGTATGTCATGTGATGTCATAGCCATTGTTTATTGCTCTAGCGTAGCAGAGTCGGAGTCCCAGGCTTTTGCAAGGGACACACGATAGATAGAGTAGTAGATGTAAGTATAGTACTCTACTCCCCGGCGTGGAGTTGGTATGATATGTAGTGTAATTAAGGCAATGTCTCTCGTATCAGGAACAGGAAAGCTTCGAGCACATTCGCTACCTCCTTCCTCCCGAGCCCGGAATATTAACCCTCCGAGAGACCGGGGGGGGGGGGGGGTGTGGGGCAGGCCGAGAAAGGAGGATAGGTACTGTAGGTGCCGACATGGAGAGATAGAGAGGGAGGGATGGATGGATGGATGGGTAGTGGCAGGCGCAGTGAGATGGATGTAGAGGACAGTCAAGAAGAGTCAGTATTCATTCAGCTCTGGGAATTGATGATGTCCAGGTATGTAGGTAGAAGACTCGCAGTGACTACAGTAACAGTTGCAGTTAGTCGCAGTACCTACTCTAATGCAGCCAGGCAGCGTTCGATGCACCAGGGTCTCAGTCCCACTCCCGCTCGCGCTCCCATTGGCGCGGGGCCATTGACTCTAGTTTCTCCCTACTACACACATGGAGGGTGCATACTGGACTACTTGCACTTGCACTCACTCACTCAACCATGACAGGGCCAACGGTTAATGACGTTCCGTGATGAGTGAGCATGAAATTGTTGCAAGGGAAGGGAAGGGATCGAAGGGAAGGGATCGAAGGGAAGTAAATCTATGAGTGAGTGAGTGAGCCAGGAGTGAAAGTGTCCTCCTGGTCAGACTACTTAAGCACACGATACGGCCCTGTTTTCTGTTAATCCCTTTCTCCGAAACCTCTCCTCATCTTCATCCCCTCCTCATCCACTTATAAACCCCCATCACCACTCTGCACTCTGTCCGCCATTCCCCGGGAGTGAGCTGTTTCGACAACGGTACTTCATACAGCCAGCCATCCTATCCACCTCACCTGTCTACTACATCTTCAAACCAAACCAAAAACACCACACCTGCTCAACTACCACCGCAGCAATGGCCCCGAAGAACCCCCCCAGCAGAGAAAACATATTCCTCTTCATCCCCAACCTAATCGGTAACCCCCTCCAATCCCCTCCCCCCAATCTCCAGCGCTCCACACAGCACAGCAAACTAACCCCCCCCCCCACACAGGCTACTCACGCATCATCCTCGCTGGCGCATCCCTCTACTTCATGCCCTACCACCCGCACTACTGCACCCTCCTCTACACCGTCTCATGCCTCCTCGACGCCCTCGACGGCTACGCCGCCCGCACCTTCAACCAGTCGACAAAGTTCGGCGCCGTCCTCGACATGGTCACGGACCGCTGCACGACCGCGTGCCTCCTCTGCTTCCTCTCCGCGGCATACACGAAATGGGCAATCCTCTTCCAGGGCCTCATCAGTCTCGACCTCGCAAGCCACTACATGCACATGTATGCCACGCTCGACCGCGGCGTCAGCAGCCACAAGACGGTCGAGAAGAAGAGGAGCCGTATCTTGAATCTGTACTACTCGAATAATGTAAGTTGGTTTGTTGCTGTCACCCGCGGCGCGGAGATCTGCGCCCGCCCCCCCGGATCTTGTTTTGTGTTGGAGAAAGGAATGGCTGACGCCCCGCTGTAGAAGGTGCTGTTCACGTTCTGTGCGGCCAACGAGGTCTTCTTCCTGGCAATGTATCTGCTCTCGTTCCCGCAGTTCCAGGGCGAGGTTAGCTGGCCGTGGGTCGTGGCGGCGATCACGTTCCCCGTCTGCGCCGCGAAGCAGTGGATCAATGTCGTGCAGATGGTCAAGGCCGCGGTCTCCCTGTCGGAGGGCGATCTCGAAATGAGGGCGAAGGCTTCTGCTGCTGCTGCTGTGGCTGCGGCGCCGCCGAAGAAGTTGTAGGTGTGATATGTATGGGATGTATGGGTCGGGTCGGATTAGATTGGTTTTTGGAGGGCATTGGTTTTTCATCTTTCTCTTTCTCTTTTGCGCACGCTTGCGGGGCGCTTTGTATTCTTGTTGTCTTCTTTTTGTGTTTCGTTTGTTTTGGCCATCTGGGAGATACAAAAGTCGGCGTTGGGAAATGTCATTTTATTTAGTCACCGTACGTATGCATCACTGCTGGTTTCCCTGAAGCCTGCGCACTGACAGACAGAACGAGGGCATAGGGATAATAAATAATACTTCTTATTAATAAATGCTGGTTTTGGACTGCTGCTGTTTGTTGGTTTATATTCGCTCGGGGGCCCACTCCCGACTGCGTTGATGGGCGACACTGGTCATTATAGGAGAGCTTATGAAGGATTGGAGGGCTTGTTACTACTAGATTGACAAACCTGGAGGAGGCATTGGTGCTATGCACCATAGGAGGTTGCGTTTCTCAGAGATGAGTAGTCAATGATCAAGTTGATTTTATGGCACTTGTGAGTGAAGATCCAAATATATCGTAACATTAACTAGTGTCTAGGGATATTCATATAATCCAACAGTTTTTATTAAAGAAAGTAAAATATGGTAAAACATTATCAATGAGACAATATCAGGAAATAAAAAAAAAAAAAAAAAAACCGACGCTACCACTCCATATACGATCCCAATTTATACCTCCCCTACCTACACATACGAGCAGCACCGTCTATTTTCCATTCCGGTTCTCTACTTGGCTAGACAAGTTCTTCACCAGGTCCATCGTGGACTTCAGGCCAGTTGCGCCCTCGACCGCATCCTTTACCGGCAGAGCATCCAGACCAAGGGCCTCGGCCTCTCTCTTGTCCAGCGCCTCCTTGGGAGACTTGACCTTGCCACCGGGGAACTTTGTGTTCTTGATCTTGATCTTCCTCTCGGCCTTGTCCTCGACCTTGTTCAGCTCGCCGTCAATCTTGGCGTCCGCCGCTTTTCGGAGGCCCTGTCTGAAATCGCCCTCCGGAGCAGCGTCGGCCTCGGCCTCACGCTTCGAGGTGACACCGCGGATATCGGCCACGACGGCGGCCATCTTCTTGATCTGGGCAAGCGGGTCCTCGCCTCTGGGGGAGATACCGCCGAGGCCGCCATCCAGAAGACCGCCAACGATGGGGAGGTCGAGTCCACGCTTTCCGCTCTGCTTGCCGAAGGCCTTGAGTAGCGTTGTGGCCACACCTGGGACCTCGCCCAGGGCCTCAAATGCTGGATCACGCTTTGCTTTGCTACCACCGAGGCCACCGCCCAGATTACCCAGGATTCCCAAAACGCCAGTGAGACCATCGAGTTGACGCTTCACTTTCCCACCCGTCAAGCCGCCCAGCAGCGGCAGCGATGAAAGAAGATTAGCCTCCCTCTTGGCCTTGTGCCCCACATTGACCACCCCGCTCGAGCCCATGTCCGGCATGCTCGAGGCCACGTCCGGCATGGTCGCGAGCGTAGGGAACAACGTCCTCTTGACTCGCCCCATGAGGCCGCTACTCATAAGAGGGCCTACAACAGGTAGTCCTTCCAGCAGGGCCCATCTCTTCTTTACCGCGACATCACGGCCGCCCAGGCCGCCCAGGCCGCCGACAACTGGGAGGCCGGAGAGCCCGGAGGTGACAGAGCCGAGGCCGGACATAGCGGCGCCCATCCCAGTCTTCATGCCGTCGTCGGCGTTAATCTGGGGAGGCTTGGCGAGGGCTTGCATCGCAGGGTCGACGGGCTCGGGGACACTAGCGGCAGAGGGGGTGGCTGTGGCGGAAGGGACGGCGTCGAGCGTGGGGGTGGGGGAGACATTGAAGCGGTCCATTTGCTCGTTGCCTTCTTGGGGGATGGGGGAAGTGAGGGCGGGGAGGGCCAGGGCGAGGAGGAGAAGGACTGGACTGGAGCGCATGGCTGCGGTAAAAGAGTGTGGTGTAGTTGGAAAAAATGGACTAGGGATAAATTGGTAGTGAGTGAGTGGACGGATGAATGAGTGTATGTCGCAGGGTGAAGAAGAGGAAGGGGAACAAACTGGGGGCGGAGGAAGGAAGGATATAAACTAGCTCCTATCGATGATCCGTGTGTGGTGTTGTTGTCGATTTTGATATAGAGATGGGGATGGTTCGAAATAGCTGCACGGAGGGAAGAAGAAACAAGACAAATTGCAAGTGATACCGCTGCTGTTATATGCAAGGAGAGGAATGCAGCGGGCTGGTTTAGTTTGAGGGGAGCGGAGGGGGGAAGAGGCTGGTGAAGGGGGGTAAAATTATCATTGACCTCCTTACATCCACGATCCGCTCCTCCTGGAGGGAGGTTTGTCATTCATTCTTGGCGACAGGAATGATGCGAATATGTTGATTTTCACAAGTAGATGGGTGCTGTAGCTCATTGCTGTGCCGATCAGTTGCGAAGTAAGCAAGGGGTGTCAATGATTCCAAAATCTTCGGAGCTGTCTCGAAACGTTTGGTTCGCGGTGAGACGCAATTTGTTTCTCAGCAAAGGGTATATGTTTCCCAAACATCCCTCCTTGATGGCCGGGGGCGAAATGAGAGGGGGTTCGGTATCCTCCTGAGTTCCGTCCAACTTGACATGTTGATAAGCCCCGGTTTACTAGAGGGAGGGAAGGAGAGAAGGAAGGAGGGAGGGAGGTTGGCGCTTTTATGTATATGAGTGCCTGGGAGGACGGTCCAGGCCACGGTTGAGGTGCTTTCTGCTTCCTTGGTGGTTTAAGAGGGTAGCTTGCATCGGAGGTTTTACAGGGAGCAGCGATCGCATATACATATACACTTGCGTAGTGTATAGTTCTTAGCATCTCTTTGGCCCTACCGTGGTCTGCTTTTATTTGTTTATGTTCGGATCGCGACTTTATAAGAGGCTGACGAGAATCGAATTGTCTGATTGAATTAATTATCAACGAGACAAGAAGGAACAGGCTCATTTTATAGGGAACAAAGACGTGATAAATAAACACGTATCGTCAAGCCACGAACCAAACTCGTTGGCTTGACACAGTACTCATGACAGTTAGCAGTTGACACAATACTCATGACAGTTAACAATTGACACAGTAATAATGGCAGATATCAGACTGTACAAACAACAGACAATAAGGGTTTTGGCATGGAGGAAAGCTCGGAAATGTGGCCGTTTAAGCTTAAGAATGCCACACCCCTTCAAACCTTAGTTGACAGAATTCAAACATGGAGAGATATGAGATGAAAGGCTCTCGGCCCGCAATCCGGATGTCCGTAGGCTTGTGTCTGTGCCCGTCTGGCTTGGCGCATCTATTATTTGCATCCCCATGGGTGTTAGTCTCTGTTTTGATTGGTGGTGTTGTTGCTCCTTAAGAGGGAAGGGGTGAGCTACTAATCTGCGTTCAGGAAATAGTGTGCACGTGCCCGCTAGTGCAGATTTTGTAACTCTAGACAGCTCAGTTTCAGAGAGTTCATTATGAGTTTAGAGAGAAAGAAATTCTAGTTTATCCCTCAATCCATTTTGGCATTGGATGAAGTTTTGTGTGATAAGATATGAAATCACCAATAATGTCTGAAGTTACTGTCGATCACTTACCTTTCTGGTTATTAAAAAAAAAAGCCGGTGCTTTGCAGAAGAGCTCCTCCATAACCGGAGTCCATATAGCAATCCGATCCAGTGAGATCCGTTCTGTTAAGCACCTGTAGATACCGAGCCCCAAAGCCGAGTTCAGACCATCTCTTGCTATCCTAGTGCGTGCATCCATTATCATTGACCCCCGGACGCTCTTCATTGGAGCGCCTTGTCCTCCACCGTCTGTAATATAACCCCGCCCGCCCGCCCACCGCACCTCCTCCAACTAACATCTCCCACCAATATCCCCCGCCACCGCAATGCCCCTCCCAACCCCCGCCGAATCCCTCCGCCTCGCGTGCCGCACAAACACACACACAACCTCCACCTCCCTCCTTACCCCCACAATCCAAGCCAACCTCCTCGTCCTCCCCTCCCGCCACGCCGCCTCCTTCCGTGCCCTTTGCGCCCGCAACCCTGTCTCCTGCCCCCTCCTCTGGACTACCCCTCCTGGCACCCCCACAACCCCCCTCGCCCCAACCGCCGACCTCCGCACCGACCTGCCCAAATACAACATCTACCTCGACGGCATCCTCCAGACCCCTGAGGGCGTACTAGACATCAAGAACGAGTGGTCGCCCGACCACGTCGGTTTCCTTATCGGCTGCTCGTTCTCGTTCGAGACGGCGCTGGAGCGCGCCGGACTGCCGCCGAGACACACGCTGTGCACGCCGCCGCGGACGGTGCCCATGTTCCGGACTACGGTGCCGCTGTGTCCCGCGGGGGTATTTACGGGCGGGGTGATGGTCGTGTCGATGCGTTCGTATCCGCCGGGGCGGGTGGAGGAGGTGCGTGACATCACGCGGCGGTTTGGGAGGCAGCATGGCGAGCCTGTTGCGTGGGGGTGGGAGGGCGCGGAGACGCTGGGGGTGGCAGAGAAGATGCGGGAGGGCAGGGTGGATTTTGGGGAGTGGGTGGAGGTGGGGAGGGGGAGGTGCCGGTGTTTTGGGGGTGTGGGGTCACGCCGCAGGTGGCTGTTATGGAAAGTGGGATTGGGGGCGTGGTGTTGAGCCATTTCCCGGGGTGCATGTTTGTGAGTGATGTGCTGGCGGAGGATGAGGCGGAGCTGGAGTCGGTGGTTAAGGCTTTGGATGTTGTGGAGGAGGTGGGAAGTGGGGGCGCGGATTAGCTATATATCGTATCAAGGTTTATGTATGAAACTGTCGAGTGATCACTTGTGAATACATTCCTCATATACCCACCAGGTAGTGTTCATATAGCTACTTAAGATTGCCACAAATTGCGTATATAATAGGCTTACAAGTCAAGTAGGATTTTAGCTACCCCCGGGTGGTGGTGTGCCGGGGCGGGGGTACGAACGTGTAGGTAGATTGAATCTGCTCTTTGATCAATTGACCTTTTGATCAATTGACTTTTTGGTTGTTGACAATATACTCGTGCCTGGGATGGAACGTATATAAAACCTGGAATCCGAGTTTTACGAAACGCAACAGACACACTTTTCTGATGTTCTGTATTACATACAAAGACTCGTTATATTACAGGTATCGATATCCCCAACACCAAATAGCGCAACATATATTGTTCACGAGTTTATATCATAATGATTATAATAGTCATTGTTGTTGACCATTCTTGCGATTCGAAGCAAGGTTTTATGATTCATCATCCCACTAAGACACACACGTATATCAGTAAGTGTGATTCACCGGCCGTAGCAACGTTAGTATGATCAAGTAACTTACTTCTTGAGAGATTGCACCAATGAGGAGTTTTGTAACCTAGTGGTATTGATCCAGGTTAGCACATGGGGCTGGGGGATCTGGAGGATACTAAGAAGATGGGGGACGTAGAATTCATACCTCATGGAATGACTGGGTCCGGTTGAGAATAGATGCAAGATCAACATGCGCTGTAGCGAAATTGCGATTAATGACAATTGTACAACTGAAGGCCAGGATCGTAGTCGGTCATGCACTGTACATACCTCGCTGACAATCGATATGTACCCCCAAGTCCTTGTGGTCGTCAAGTTCCTGAAGCAAGTCTTTTGCGCCTTGGTCATCTCCGATACGGCAAAACTTGAATGAGACAGCTATATAAAGAAGAAAGAATGGTACATTAGGATCAGTCGCTGTTAAAAATTGCAAAAAAGGAAGAAAAGAAAAACGAACCGTATTCTCCCGTAGCAAAGTTTTTGCAGAAGGAGTAAACATCGGTGAGTACATCGAACAAAACATTCTTCCTTTCGCCTTGTATCTAAACGGTCGGGCCGCAGGTTTAGTCAGCTAGTGGACTAACCATAGAGATATAAGGAAATAAACACAACATAACTAGGACATCACTTACCTCTCCATCTGTTATAATCATTACAAGAAGAGGCCTCGGCATCTTTGAGGAGACCAAATCGATCAAAATCTTCTTTTTAAGCTGGGTTCCTATCCTTGTCATGCCGCTGTAAGAGTGATTATGGAGTAGCTTCTCTACTTCAGCACTATCGACATAGTCACTGCCTTTCCTGCTATTTAGGAACCGTATCCTTCGTATTTTACCATTCATACCCTCACCGGCGAAGGAATATATATGGGAGATTGCTTTCAGGAAGTCGACAAGAACCTGGATTCGTTTACCTTGTTCCACCCACTGCATCGACGTACTATCATCTGTTGGATTAAGTAAACAAGTCAGCCTTTAATTAAATCAGCAAGAACAGTCTCCGGTAGGGGGTTTATTATTACCAATGAGAATAGCAAGGTCATACAAAGTGAGCAATGCCACTTCCGAAGCAGATTCCTCCTTTTCCGCGTTCAGTTCTTTAATCAACTTCCTGGCTTGGATGGTGTATGGACGGAGAGATTCCTTGAGGTCAGCACCGTTGCGGGTGAAAAACGCTTCAAGTCCCCTATCCTCAATATGGTCAAGGAATTTGTTGAGGTATGGATCGTTGTCGTAGTCGTAATTGTCGACATCGTCTCCGTCGTATATATCATTGGCAGGCGCTGGTATAGGTCTCTTTTACATTTTCAATTAAAGGTTAGCCATTTGAGGATGTACGTCGAATTCAACGTAATGAGTAGAAATGGGAAAGCGTCGCTGATACGTACAATCCTACCAGTGATTTCATATTCTACGCCTCCATCTACATATACACCATCACCTGCCTCTGTAACCAGCATCTCTAGGGTCTTCTTGTCATCGTTTTCAATTGACTTGGAGGCCCCGCGCTCTACCAACTCCTTTACCATTTCCAGGTCATTATTCCTAACCGCTTTAAACAACGGCGTCTCGCCTCGGGCATCTCTAGGATCGACAGGTATATCCTCGTAAATAGCAATCTTACTACCTCAAAGTGTCTCTTTTGAACGGCAATGTGAAGTACGCTAGTTTTGCATGTGCAACATTCGACTAGCGGTGATGCCCCACTCTGCAGGAGCGCATTGACAATTTCATCCTCACCCTTGCTGGCCGCTATCCATAAAGGTGTTCGTCCATGGGAGTCTTTGAATTCAACCTCTGGCTTGTGCTTGAGAAGAGCTTTAACGATGTTGTTGTATCCTGCTCTAGTCGCATGGTAGAGGGACGACCACTCATGATCATCCGTGGATTTTTCGGACGCGCATGAGGGATGGGATTCAATAAATCCGATAAGGTCTTCTTCCTTGGGATCATCGGCTTCGAAGAACTCGAAATAACTCTCCGTCATATCGTAGGGAGCTTCTGGTCACCTAGGGCCTAGGCTATAGTAGGTTATGGAGATATGAGATAGATTTTTGGTTTAACTATGATCGTACGTGGCCTTTGAGTTTGAGTAAGTGGGGGTGAATTTAGTATCAAGAATCCCATAGAACGGGATTAGCACTAGGTATTGATATATTATCTTCCAAGCTACGAATTTTCAGAGCCGCATTTCTGATTTAAACTGCGGCTAGAACTTTGAGAAAACAGATGCTGGCAATAGGTATTGCGCGCGCGCAGGTAAGTATTCGTTGCAGCCGTGTGCCATGCGCCATGCAATGTACAGCAAATCGGGTTTTCATAATGTCGGGCGGGACTTGGGTCATTCTCCAATAAATATTAAAAATGACTGGATCCACGTTTTTAAATATTCGATTAACTGATCATGTATCTACAGTAGCTTCGTTTTTAAAAACCATAGTAAAGATGACAACATAATGCAAAATGACCAAGCATCTTCCCCGCAATTGAGATATTTTCATGCATGGGAAGTACCCCGCTTTCGACATTTCCCTACTTGTTCTCGAATGTGTTTGGCTTCGCGCTTTGTGTCTAGATTGTGTAACACCGAGATTTTAAATTTGAGGTGGGGTTCTGTTATGCATGGTTGATAAGGTACATAAGTGGGTCAGCGGCGCGTGGCTACATATATGCAGACTGCGCACGACCTGATCTGTGGACCAATGATACTTTCACCGGTTATTATTGAAGGCCTGTTAAAATCTACGTTTGTATCGATCAGGGTCACTTGATAAAGGATTACCTACCTACCTTATCTTGAGTGACTCTGTAGGACGCCGAGTACTGTCGTGTATACCGAGTGCCGGCGGGTTCTATTGGGTCGCGTGTGGTGCAATCAATCATTATTGTAAGTACATACCTCATAAGATACACGAATACTTCTAATGTAGCTAATTAAATATTTTACAAATGTGTGTCACTATGTAGACCATAAACACCGAGCTTGATATCGCGCGATACAGTCCACCCCAAAAGACAACTTACACACGCCATGGGCGACCTCATCACCCGTTATCTTGGAGCCCTCTCTGCAATACAAATTGAGCGCGGAAAGGTTGTCCATTACATCTATCAACTCGAGGATGGGAATCTCATAAAAAAGTCCTTCTTCCAAGACTGGTCACTTCCGGATTTCATTGGGCCAGCAAGACCAGGTGCATCCGTCGCGCATTATCTCGACGATTCAAAGGTTCGGAGATCACCTCTAAGCTTTATGATATGCTTACTTGGTTCTTTCCCTCTTTGTTAGCAGTCGCTGACTGAATGGATGTGAAAAGGAGATTGTGGTTTCTTTAAACGAATCAAACGTTCTACAGGATTATCAATTTGATATAGACGAGGAGGAATGGACATTGGGAGGTTTATCGGATTTGAACTACGTAGCGACTCCCGGCACTAAGCTATCCATTACGAAACATGAGGAAACCTTACATCTTTACTATCAGAAAGAGTCTGGAACGATCCAGGAGCTAGTTCTGCCTGTTTCAAGCAACGAGGCCACATGGAAGGCTTCAGAAGAACTTTCGGTGGCTAATCCGCTCAAGGACACAAGTATCTCCGCTGTTAATCTAGCTGGTACCATACATGTTTTTTATGTAAATCTTGATAGATGTATTCATCGGTGTTCTTACGAGGGAAATAGTTGGCAAGGTACGTGGAAGGGCCATATATATGTATCTGGGAATAACATCTAATTGCATATATTAGACAACAATACCGGTGGACTCGAGGATGAAAGTCTTCCGATCCGGATTGCCGCCTCGATTCAAAAAGATAGACTCGAAGTATTTTATAAGACAGAAATGGGAGATATAGTGGCCCTGGAAGAAGGAGTAGGTCGAAGAAAAATTGGGACTGTGGGAGCTGATGGTGCATTTATGAGTGCTATTGGGGGAGATCGAGAGGAACGGTTCGCGGCGGGTGTAGTGGACTCCCGAATATGTGTAATTACTTGATATTATTGCTCTACCCTTGTGCACTCACACGTTAGAATCTAGAAAACATACATGTAACATGACGTACGGATCACATAGATGTACCTACATGTAAGTACAGATATCCCGGGAGAGCTGAGTACTTGATGTAGAACATGTATTCCTGTAACTGTGACCCACTGGAATGTTAAATTATCAATCTCACCCATCAAAACATATGGAGGGAGGCTTTGTACTGCCTCGCGCTGCATGCAGCTTGATACTACCTGAGTAGTTGTGCCGATTCACGATTGTTTGCTTGTGTGAAACACATATTCCCCACGTGCACAAATGTACCTTAAGAGCTGCGCACGACAGCAAATGTAGTTTGTAGGTACATACATACATATGTAGGAACATACAGGTATATTACACGAACTGCCGTGGGGGCCTGAAATGTGCGTGACCGGGAACCGAATCAAAGAAAGACCCACAAATCCTCCAAGCACAATCAATCCTACTCATATGATTGAATCAACGGCATGGTGCTAATTGCTCTTTAAAGCTTTATATAGGACACCCCCAGACCCCAACATACTAGCAGCTACGTTGAGGATATTTGATCGAGCACGTATCAAGATCGTCATATACCATTCCCAAGGCACAGCCGAGCAGCATATATAATTTTAATTATATACATACAATGCCCTGGGCCGAGCCTGAACCATATGAGAAGCCAACAGAAGTTGTTCGGGCAGAGAATTTTGTGCCGGGGAGTTTTCTGGTTGATACCTTAGGTCCTCTCAGGTGGACCTGTCGGTTGAAGATCTTCTTTGATGATAGCCAGAGTACGTTCTTAGATGCCGCGTGTCCCAACTTGATATTGCTTACTGATACACTTTCCATTATATGCAGATTACGCACGAGGAAGTGGCTTTCTCGTTAACTTGCCCGCCGGAAGTAAAAAGGACTTGATAATGACAGCAGGTCATAATCTTGTCAACAGTGAGGGAAAATATGCAAAGTCTATTGAAATATTGTTTGGAGGAGTTGCCGGTAGTAGCATTGGCTCCGAGGAAATTGTAGTAAGTAAAGATAAAGACGAGTATTTCGCCTCACGAAGTTACGAGAAAGATCCCACCGAAAATAATGCTGTAAACGACTATGGGTGCATATTGCTTCAAAAGAGGGCCGGTAGTTCGCCTCGAGTGGGATTTAGTTACAGTGCCGTCATGGAGGGAGATTCGATACTCGAGAAAGAAGCAACGGTCTATGGCTATCCAGCCCGGAATCACGACGGATCCATCATACCGACGGACATAGCCCTGAACGCTATGGGAAAAATCACAAAGATCGACTTAAACGGGAAACAACTACAGTATCTGATTACCACTGAAAAAGGACATAGCGGTGGTCCGGTTTGTGTCAGAAAAGAAGATTACTACACCGCAATTGGAATACAGTAAGAATATTCCAAAAGAATAGAACTATACCATATGCATATGTATAATTGGCTAATATATATTCACAAGTAACTACGCAGGAAAGCCAGGCACGAACGGAAACTGCGGGTCAATTCTCACATGCGCTATCATCTTCGAAATGCTTGAACATTGTTACGGAAGGACATCTATCGAGCTTTATCTGCCAAAATCCATGGGATCGAGCTCAGAAGCGCAAAGAAACAGCAACATCTTTTTGAAGATAGCTCCTGGACGTCGATCTAGAGTACTTGCACAACATGGCAAGGACAAATATACAGAGCTGAACCTGATTCCAGTTGAAACATACCCAGTGGCACTTATAGGATCCGGAAAAGAGACTCAGATTCCGAAGTATATTATTGCTACTCCTCACCGAAAACCATATACCGTTCTCGAGTTCTGTACGGACTCGCAGAATCAAATAGGAGAGCCGCCGGGATTAGGAATGGTGATTAGTTCCATGGAAGAAGACCTCATGCACGGCCGACCGACGAAGAGGAATCTTGTGGAACTGAGGAAGGCATCCACTCCGCGCAATGAGACGGTTTGGACAGTTAACACCCTTGGAACACCAAGATACACTCTGAGGGTCCCAAAACAGAAAGAACTCAAGTCGACAAAATCAGATTACAATTGCGACTGTATGGCATCAACTGAAATCCCGAGAGTTGAACTAGTGAGAGAAACAACCCCGGACGCAGGAAAGGTATGAAGTGAATTGGATCTATGTTCATTCTAAAATGATTATTAAAGCATACTGACTGTACATGTAAGCAGTACAACAAGTTTTTCGTGAACGGAATAGAGTAGTTGTTAAGAGGAAGTGGAGTTCACAATACGTTTTCAATGTGTTGCCGGTAATTTCCTTACCATCCATTTTTTTTAAAAGAAATATCAGCTGTCCCTAGCTTGGCTCTGTGTTATTTGACATGCAGTTATATACATAGTATGTGATATACATGTAAGAAGGCTTAAGGGAGAGTTGGTGGTCATGGTAACGTGGTACTAACTTTGAATAAGTTTCAAGCCCAGCAGATATTGTGGTTTGTGTCTTTCTTCCGTGTGCTTAGCCAATGCATTCAATTCGTGACCATGTCCCAGGTGAGATAGGAAAAACCATCTTATCGGCAGAGAAGAATTACGTACAAAACCAATTATCTACGATCGATCGCAAGAGCCCTATGTTTTCGATGTGAGATACCTGTGTATCTACATATAGTTTCCCAAGATTTCAAAGTGCGCAGACCGTAGAAGGGAAGAAGTTTAAATTTTACCATTAAATATGCAAGTAATGCATATATAGTCCGATTCTATATCATACCCCTGTATGTGCCGCGGGTTATGTGGGCGATCCATATGATCTGAATCTGAGCCACATACAGTATCCGGTAACATTATTGCAAAAGTGGGTTCTCCGTGACCCGATAGTCCTATTGGCCCTTGAAAGATTTTTTGCTGCGAGCACAGACCAACAAATCCACTCTTTTAGTTCTGACTTTTGCAATAATTCTACCGGATACTGTATAGCTAGATGCACATGGCGCAATTGAGAAAGTAAAATCTAATCAAATTACCGTTAATTCTCGCCAAATCCACTATCTCCGCATAGGTAAATGGTATGTCCGGACCAAAGAAATGGCAGCATCAGTAGGGTTTCTGCACATTCGCATGCCGAGCCTTCTTTTCTTTGGTCCGGACATACCATTTACCTATGCGGAGATAGTGGATTTGGCGAGAATTAACGGTATGGCCCTAGAACCTGTGATCATGTGGTGGTCGTAAATCACAAATCTTCTAGGCTTCCAGTTAATGGATGAAGTGCAACGTCAAAGGGTATTTCTGGGCATAATTACTCCAACATAGTTGTATATAGAGGTAGAGTTAATTGATTCATGTGACCTCAACCAATTGTAATTATATGTTATGAAGTTATGGCGAAGCATCTGGATCATCGAATAAATCTTTAAAGCGGGAAATAGAAAACGTTCGGCTCCAATTGTAATTTGATCAACCCATGTAGCTAGGCCAGTCAATTTCTCGATTAATCATAGAACACTACATGTGCATATAAACTAGTAATAAGGAAACAGGGAACCATGCTACCGGAGCCTATGGCATAGATACCTACCTACAGTCGAGGTTAATCAAACCCTGATCCTGGCACTAACTTTGTATCGCCACCTATTCACTCCTCCTAATCATCTGGTCTTGCTTTGTGAAGCTGTTGGAGGAAGCTCACCTAGAGACTTTTAATCCCGCGAAAAGCGAACTACATATCTATCTCCCAGGAATCTCGTGTCGTAAATTCCGCCTTTGATATTAAATAAATTATAATGGTATGTGATCACTGTCTTATCCCAGTATACTAACGTTGATTCTAATGAGATTTGTCAACTGCAGGACTCCCAGAATACAGAAAACTACCTTGCTTTTCTCAATAACTATATCGAGAAACGATCTTTGCAGGCTTTCTATCCACATGGCTCAGAGACGCTGGTGAGTATCGCCAAGCAGGCTGACAGCCTGGTCAAGAGTGTTCATCCGAAATTTGTACAAAGCCCCGAAGTGGCAATGGATATGTCCCTCCTGGCTTTGTATAGGATAGTTCTGCTACTCGGTATGCTCTTATCAAGATCTCTGCTTTCCAAGGCCAACCCTCACGATTCTTAGATGACAGCGGGTCAATGAAGCTTTCCGAGGGGGGACGACGGATTAAGGCGCTCCAGGTCTTCCTAACTCGCATCACCGAAATTAGCACTCATTTTGTCAGCGACGGGATCACAATACGCTGGTTCAACAAACTTGAGGGGGTGAATAATGTGAAAGATATCAATAAGATCCCCGAGATTGTAAAGAGTAATCCATTTCGTGGCTGGACAAAGATTGGGACGGAATTAAGAGATAAGGTTTTGGAACCTTTTGTACTTCGGCCGGCACGTGAGAACACACTGAAGAAACCTGTGATGGTGCTTATTATTACCGACGGAGAGGTGAGACTACATCGGTTCGGTCTAAAAGGTTTTGACTGACGGGTCCCGAAGCCTGCCGGAGAAGCCCCTGGGACACTGAAATCAGTGATTTTGCAATCTCAGCGCCATCTCCGGAGGCTGAAATATGCACGAACAGGTTGTAACCAGTGCTTTGGATTGTAGCGAAAACTAGGTCTCCGTGTTCATAAGTGACTGACATCAAAAGTAGCGGTGTCCTTTCAAATTGCCCGCGTAGGGAACAGCCCAACCGCCAAAGATTTCTTGCATAGGCTGGATGTCGATCCCGAGATCGGATATTCCGTTGATTGCATAGCAGGTAAGCAAGAAAGCGAGTTGAAGTAGACACACACACACTTATATTGCATGAAACCGTAGAGGAGGGAATCGAAAAAGCAGAACAGTTGCTAGGAGAAGACGATGATTTTTCTATAGCAGATCTCTGGGTTTGTTCATCCCACGCTGTGTCGGTTGAAGATTTCTAACATGAACGTGTAGTTGACGAAGCTTCTTCTGGGTGCTATCATGGAAGGGGTAAGAATATCTGAATAGAGATTCTCAGGAGAGAAGA